TTGTCTTTCTCTGCCTGGTGTATTTCACTTAGCATAATACTCTCCAGTTCCTTCCATGCTGTCTCAAAGGGTAAGATATATATATATATATATATATTTTTTTTTTTTACAGCTGCATAGTATTTCCTGGTATAACTGTCCCACAGCTTTTTTATCCACTCATCTACTGATGGGCACTTGGGCTGTTTGAAGACCTTAGCTATTGTAAATTGCACTGCTATGAACATAGGGATGCATACATTTTACCTGATTGATGTTTTGAGTTTCTTAGGATATATTCCTAGAAGTGAGATAACTGGGTCAAATGGACATTTAATATATTATATAGCTGGAAAAATAATATTACTGTAAAATGGAAAGGTTTTTTTTTCCTGTTTACCATCAAAAACTTAAAAATTGATTGGTTCACATTTGATAGAAAAATTTCTAAATGATTGTGGCTTAGAAAAATTAATTTCTCTATTTTTTAAAATATTTGTTTGGGGGATATGGTAAATAACATTTCAAAAGTTTTTTAGATTATTAAGAAATTAAGCATTTTCTTTAACCAAACTTTTAAAAGGTGCCATAACAAGTATAAATAGTCATCACAGTTATTCTTTTTATGAACCTCTAACAATAAGACTGTATTGACTTTTGTTCATCTTGAATAGGCCTGAAGGATATAGATTTTTAAGATGTTGTCAAAGTATAATCTTTGGTTTTGAAGGTAGATATATTTCATTATTAAAATAGACTTTTCATGTTGAGATTTTACTTACTGTTCATTTTTATCCTAAAATATAAATTTGATTAAATATGTCTGCTCAGTGTATGCTTCACAGATTTTTTTTATAGATATGTATTTTGGCAAATGCATTCTATTAAAAAAATTCTATTACACATGAAAGAGTAGCTGTACTTAAAAGGGGTATAATTTTTTTCAGTTAAAATGTACAATCTATACAAAAATATCAAATTTGAAATCTTGCCAAATATTTTTCATCTACACTTTGAAAAGAACGTAAATAATATCCGTGTCTATTCAGTTCGCATATATGCTGTACAATAGCTATCTTTTAAAGTGTAATTTTTGAAATCATAGTTATGGAATATATGGACTTTTTGTACTTGACTTTTTATACTCTATTAGATTATGATTAATTGACAAAACTAATGCATTGCTGTATTGCAGCAGCCTCAAATCATGTAATGTGCATTTGAATCATTTGACAGTTTCATTTTTTGACAAATCGTTAACTTCCACTTTGAGGTTCTCAGCATATAGAATTACCATTTCCTAACACTGTTTACTTTTATGCTATGTTGTGGTTGACCCATAGTGAACAAAATATTATTTATATTTTTATTCCCACATGGATTATTGCACCTTCACTGATTTATTATTTCCCTGGAGGTGTTTTCTACACTACATTCCTTATTTCAGGTCTACTTTTTGTTGGTGAGCAATGTTTTCTTCATCTGTCTCAGAGTCTAATTTTCTTCTTTTGTTTTCTATTGTATTTCCTTAATTTTTTAATTCTAAGTTACAGTTTACATTCAATATTATTTTGTATTAGTTTCAGGTGTACAGTGTAGTGGTTAGACAATCATATACTTTACAAAGTGATTCCTCCTGATATTCCCTATGCTGTTCTTTACAACCCTGTGATTATTCTGTAACTACCAATTTATAGTTCTTAATCCCTTCACCTTTTTCACCCAATCCTCCTTCCCCCTCCTATCTGTCAGCCATCAGTCTGTTCTCTGTATAGGTCTGTTTCAGTTTTGTTGTTCATTTATTTTGTTCTTTAGATTCCACATGTAAGTGAAATCACATGGTATTTATCTTTCTCTGTCTGACTTATTTCACTGAGCATAATACCCTCTAGGTCCATCCATGCTTTGCAAATGGTAAAATTTCATTCATGTTTATGGCTGAGTAATATTTCATCCTGTATTTGAATCAAAACTTTACTCACTCATCTATTGATGGGCACTTGGGCTGCTTCCATATCTTGGCTATTGTAAATAATGCTACAATCAACACAGGAGTCCATATATTCCTTCGATATATGGGTTTCTTTGAATATATAGCCAGAAGTGGAATAGCTGGGTCGTGAGGCAGCTCCGTCCTTAATATTTTTGAGGAAACTCCGTGCTGTTTTCCACAGCGGCTGCGCCAGTCTGCCTTCCCGCCAGCAGTACACGAGGGTTGCCTCCTGTTCACATCCTCGCCACCACTTGTTGTTTGTTGATCTATTGATGGCAGCCATTCTGACAGAAGTGAGGTGATATCTCATTGTGGTTTTCATTTGCATTTCTCTGATGATTAGTTATGTTGAGCATCTTGCTTTCTATTTTTTATTTTGGTAAAAACACAATGTGAGATGTGCCCTCTTAAAGTATACAGGACAATATTGCTAACTATATGCACAGTGTTGCCCTGCAGATAGCTAGAACTTTTTCACGCTGCATGACTGAAACTCTTTGCCCATTGAACAGCAAGTCCCCTATTTCATTCTTTCCACAACCGACAACCACCACTCTACTTTCCGTTTCTATGAGTTTGACTAGTTTACATAGTTCATAAAGGTGGAATTATGCACTATTTGTCCTTCTGTGACTAGCCATTGGGATTTTGATAGGAACTGCATTGAATCTGTAGATCACTTTGTGTGATCTGGACATTTTTTAAATATTAAATTTTCCAATCCATGAGCATATATATCTTCCCATTTGTTTTTAATTTCATTCAATAATGTTTTGTCGTTTTCAACACTTAAGTCTTTTGCCTCCTTGGTTAAGTTTATCTCTTAGTATATTATTATATTTGATGCTCTGGCTAGTACTTCCGATAGTGTGTTGAATAGATGGCAACAGTGGGCATTCTTATCTTGCTCCTGATTGCAGAGGAAGAGCTTTCAGTTTCTCACTGTTGGATGTGTTTTTTCGCTGTGGCTTAGTATAGGGCCTTTATTATGTTGAGGTAAATTATTTATTTATTTTGATGAGTGTTTTTCTCATGAAAGGATGTTGACAAATGTATTTTCTGCATCTATTGAGACAATTATGTGACTTTTATGCTTTATCCTGTGAATGTGGTATGTCATATTAATTGATTTCATAGGATGAATCATCTCTGCATCCCAAGGATAAATTCCACTTGGTCATGGTGGAAGATACTTTGTGATTCTTTTGATATGCTGTTGAATTCAATTTGCTAGTATTTTGTGGAGGATTTTTGTATCTATATTCATCACGAATATTGGCCTGTAGTTTTCCTTTCTTGTACTATCTTTTTTTGGCTTTGGTATCCGGGTGACTCTGGCCTCATAAAAAGAGTTTGGATATATTCCCTCCTCTTCAGTTTTTTGGAAGAGTTTGAGAAGGATTGGCACAGTTCTTCTTTCAATGTTTAGTGGAATTCACCAGTGAAGACATCTGGTCCTGGGTTTTTCTTTGTTGGGAGGTTGTTTGAATACTGATTCAGTCTCCTTACTAGTTATCAATCTGTTCAGATTTTCTATTTTTTCATGGTTCAGTCTTGGCATGTTGTGTATTTTAAGAATTTATACATTTCTTTTGGGTTATCAAATTTGTTGGTGTATAAGTTTTACAGTTCCTTAGGATCCTTTGTTTTTCTGTGGTATCAGTTGTAATTCTCTTCTTTCATTTCTATTGTTTTTTATTGGAATCTTCTCTCTTCTTTTCAGTTAATCTAGTTAAAGTTTTATCAGTTCTGTCAATCTTTTAAAAAAAACTCTTAATTTTGTTGAGGTTTTCTATTG